CGACTGAATATCGGGAACAGCTGTAGAGAAATTTATCAACAGTAACGAGATCTCAAATAATTAAGATCCCGAATTTATTTTCCGATCGATTTTTAGTCGCTACGCTTAACCGCCGTACGTGGACATTAATTCACAAGGTCTCTCTCCGACAAACCGTTACCAGATTATCTCACGTCATTACTCTAGCCTTACGACAATGAGCCGCCTCTAGTACATATATATATATATACCGCGAATTTCATCTCCGCTTGAAAAGCGAAAGCGGACGCACCGACAATTTCATGACCGGTTCACCAGCGAAGCGATAAATGCCAAGGTCGCAGCATCTAGCGACCTATGGAAATATGGGATGCTGCGGGTCCGCAGGGCATCTTCGCGCGGTAGAGATAACACACCCACGGTTATGGCGGCACTTTCATGGTGGATATCTAGTCATGCACCGGTGGCTCTCGACACGCGAGAAGAATGGCCAGATATCAGCTGCGCTACTAGGACTAATAAAGCTTGCTGTGGTGCAGCACGGTCCACTGCCATGCGACCATGAGACTGATCATTATCATTGCCGTATATATACGCGCACGCTCGCGCACACACACACACACGCACACACGCTAGCGCGCACGCACACATATACATACGCACACACACACACACACACACACACACACACACAACACACACAAACACACACAGCAACACATTAAATTCAACTCTTAACTAAGACGCGAAGCTATATATGTGACAGATGGCGTGTGAAGAATGTACAGATGTGACAGCGCTAACTGATGAAAATCACGTTATCTCGACGCAAGGTTCTCACGTCCGCTGTGTCGCCACATACGAGAAGCGTGGTCGCGACGATCGCATGCTCGTAGTGAGATTAAGTGCTAAACAACGAACTCTCTGCTTAATCGGCGCACTGCTGTGAACGCCTCAAATACCCGCAGTATATAATAATTATAATGCATTTATATGCATATTGATAATGTTTAGCATGCTTTAGTGGATATAGGAGGATGAATAGTAGGAAGATGAGCAATGCTATTTATAAATCAAACTGGTAAGTATTCGCATTTACCGATGTTAGCTCTTCTTCCGCCTACTTCATCCTCCTATTAAAACAGAATCGTAAGAGAAAAAAGACGTGTAAATAATAACAATTTACAAGTTCATTTACAAATCAAAATGGCCGCTATTTTACATTTTCCTTTACTAATATAATCATACATGACCGCAGGCCGGTCTAGTCGCGACAGCACGTCCGTACATTCAACCCCAAACCTATTGATTACCATCGGAAAATGGCATTTCGCGTATCCGTTTACACTGCCAATGATACCGCCTTCAACGAGCGAGGTGTGGGATGCGAGGGATGCATTTACGTGGCATTTCTAGGACACTGATGCCTTCCGGTGCATGCACCACACAACTCTCCTGCTCGCTGCGCTCGCGAGAGGACATCGAATTATCATCGGAAACGAACAACAAAGGTTTTCTAGGCGTGAGGGGACGCGAAAAATGCGCGGTCACTGACCGAAATATGCAGAAGTCTTATGCGCTCTTAGTCCGGCGCTTTCGCTACATGGACGGTTTCGCTTATGTAGACGCTTTCGCTTTTGAGCGTCTGTGTCGGCGTATCCCGTCACGTTAGCTTAGTCCCTCTGTCCAAATGGCGCGATGCGTACGCCACATGCAGACAGCGCGTCAGCCGTCGCGCGAGCTATAAAAGCACCAAAACGTGCGAGCGGAACTATTTATATTAGTGCTTTCAGCGACGAAGGACAGTATAAAGCGAATCGCCGCTTGCACAGGTATGTTGTCTCATACAGTAGCAGCTAGCGGCTGTGTGGCGCGTTCATGGTCATTACCTATGGATCACTCTACACGCGCTGAAACGTAGATTCATTCTCTGGTTATCGCCGACCATATACTAGTGCGAAAGTAGACTAGCTAGTCACTCGACACGATAGGACCACAGTTATCCTGAAAGTATTTCACTGATTCTCTATTCCAGAATCATATACTACGTGTTAGTCTGAAAGCAGAGTCACTCCACTATCTATGGTCAGACCATAGTTACTCCGTAAGTAGATTTTTACTTGTCATGACCGGTTCATAGATTAGTTTGAAAGTACTATAATAATGGAGTAAAAAACACGTGTTTTTATTTAGTCCTGATAATATAAACTGTCGATAACTAGCCTAAAGCATACCGCCGCCAGAAAGCCGGATGTATGAAAGATGCATTGTCTGTCTAAAAACCTATCACAGGTAGTGTTCATATGTAGTAGTAGTATGTCTTTCGTTAGCAACGTATGGTGCACGTTACATAGTTTTCCTATATAGCGGTTCATGTGTTGTAATTATGTTGCAAGTTACATAGTTTTCGTATATAGCGGTTTATTTGATGTACATATTTGGTATACGTTACATAGCTTTTATATAATTATAGCGGTTTATTTGATGTACATATTTGGTGCACTGTTACATAGCTTTTATATAATTATAGCGGTTTATTTGATGTATATAAATTATTTGGTATACGTTACATAGCTATTATATAATTATAGCGGTTTACTTGATGTACATATTTGGTGCACGTTACATAGCTTTTATATGATTATAGCGGTTTATTTGATGTACAGGTGTGGCGCACGTTACATAGCTTTTATATAATTATAGCGGTTTATTTGATGTACATATTTGGTGCACGTTACTTAGCTATTATATAATTATAGCAGTTTACTTGATGTACATATTTGGTGCACGTTACATTGCTTTTATATAATTATAGCGGTTTATTTGACGTAGGCCTACGGGTGTGGCGCACGTTACATAGCTTTTATATAATTATAGTGGTTTATACATATTTGGTGCACGTTACATAGTGTAGTATAGACGCTTCGCCATTTCCAAAACAAGCCGATTTACAAACAATCTTGCGTTCTGCAGATTGCTGGATGTTCGGCGATCATAAAAACAGCAATTTGCGGGGTAGAGCGTGCCTTTATGGCTCTCTACCGGGGCTACAATTTTATGGCCGCCGTCGTGAATGGGGCGCGCGACAAGTTAGCGACACACTCGGGTCTCCTTTCTTCTACCACGTAGGTCATCTTTTCGCCGCCTCCTACGTTTTCCGATATCTGGTATCTGTGCCTTTCCTGAGCCTATTCTCCAGAACCTTACCTCGCCGAGTGATTTCGGAACGATCTGCATACGAAGGTAATCTTTTACGTTATACGCGATACGCGCGCGGAGAGGCGACATACGAGTCGCCACTCTCTCGATAACTTCGTATGCGGATCGGGCGTGGCACGCGGCGCGTACAGCTATACGATATTGCACGCGAGTAGATATTTTGTTAGTGTTTATAGTCTAATCTAATACACGCACGTAGAGTGAATCTCACAATTCTGTGTTCTTGTCATTCATCGACGCTACCAGTCAGCTACCCTTAAGGGAAACTCTATATATATATGCTCTGGTATGCTCTCTATGCTTTTATATAATTTTAGCGGTTTATTTGATGTACATATTTGGTGCACGTTACATAGCTTTTACATAATTATAGCGGTTTATTTGAAGTACATATTTGGTGCACGTTACATAGTTTTTATATAATTATAGCGGTTTATTTGATGTATATATATATGTGAGGTGCACGCTACATAGCGTTTACATATAGCGGTTCGTTAGTTGTAAATATGCGGTGAATACGACACACTTCGCATTACACGCACCTGCACGGGCCCTGTAGTGAAACTGGCTCCATGTTTGTTGTCCTGTCTGCCTACGTTGGCGTAGGTAGAATTTCCTATACTAATTTAGTTTGCTTTTTATTCTTACTTTCACATGCTTTTCATATTAATTTCCATTGCGTACATCGTGCATCGTGCGCAGTTAGTATAGTGACATTGATAATGTCACGTGTACGAAATACTCGGATGAACTGCGTGTCCATGCATATGTGAAGATGCACTGCTATACGCCTACGTAAAATTGACGTTACTTTTAACGCATACGTAAAATTGCAGTTACTTACTACATATCTTATCTTTAGGACTTGCGTAGTACACGTGTGCAAAGTTTCATAATTCTACTCAGAAGAGTACAATTGATGTGCTTATTCGCCTTACTAACTCACACTGTACTGCTTTGTGATTCTGTGCAATTTCAGTGTTGCAATATGAATTCGTCGCTCCTTCTGACACTGCTGCTCGGCTATGTCGGCCTCATACGCGCTCAGGGAGGGATGACAGGTGCGTATGCAACGTCCATCATATTTACTTGTCGAATAAAATTACCGGTTCTGAATAAGTAGTTTTTTTTAAAGTCGACACACTTGTTTACAAGTATATCGTGCTAGTTGGGCTGTTGCGACGTGCGTGCAACGATGATAATAGCAGGAATCAACAATGGGCATATTTACGCGTGACAGTACTAATAGGCCTACCTTGGTTGAGCAGTCCTCATTGACTTTGACCTAGTTAGAGCGAGCATGCCCCGATAATCGCGTAGCAGTGTGTTCCACATAGTCATAGAATTGCCGGCTCGTGCCAAATCATCAAGAGCATTGTTATCGCTATTAGCAACACCTATAGCCGCCGCGTGTGTTGTCTGTTATTCGTTCTTTTGTCGATTCCACCGCTATGACACGACTGGCCCTATAAGTATAAGTGATTGTTGATTGCACCAACCCTGTAGAGGCAGCACAGGAACATTCGTAGTCTGTCTACGCTACATCAGTGCGAACAGAGCTATGACGAGTGCTTTACTTTCAGGCTATGGTCCGCAGGTTATCCAGGGTTACGCTCGTCGCGTTGGCTCCCATCGGCTAACGGGCAGGGGCTTTACATCCGGCGTTCAAAATGACGGCTTTACATCCGGCGTTCAAAATGGCGGCTTCGCTTCCGGCGTTCAAAATGGCGGCTTCGCTTCCGGCCTTCAAAATGGCGGCTTCGCTTCCGGCCTTCAAAATGGCGGCTTCGCTTCCGGCCTTCAAAATGGCGGCTTCGCATCCCGCTCTCAAAACGTCGGCTTCGCCGCTTCCTCGGCCCTGCGCGGCTCTGCGATCGACATCAACAACTTCGCCAACATCGACGCGTCTGCGTTCGGCTTCCGTAACTTTGCGCCGGAGTACGTCTCAATCGCCGACTTCGACTTCGGTGCCGCCCGCCAGGCGGCAGCAGCTTTCGCACCCGAAGAAGCAATCAATGCTGCTAGCCAGGAGCAAGTCGTCATCGGGAGGCGGTTCCGCAGTGGGTCGGCACGGCAGACGGAGACGAGCAGCGCGTCGCGGGAGGGCAGCGGCAGCGGAGAGGCGGGAATCGAGCTGTCGGCGGAGCGCACCGCCTCACAGGACGCGACGCAGCAGTTCAGTCAGACGGCGAGCGGTGACGGTAGTACGAAGCAGGGCGCCGGCTACGCGTTCGAGCGCGGCAACGACGGCAGCGTGCGCTTCCAACCGGTGCGACTCGATTCTCTTCCCGTGCACTCCGGACCTCGCAGCCAGCTGCCTGTCGCTGCGAGAACCGGCGGCGGTCTGAATCCGCTCGGTGCTCTGGGAGCGCGTGGCTTCGTCAGAAGACGAACAGGAGCGCGCACGACCGCTTAAAGAAGCACGTCCACAGATCGCGTACAACCACGATGCGCGCGCGAGAGAGAAAGAGATAGAGAGAAGGAAGAGATAGATATAATTCTGCTCTGATTGGCGAGAATTGTGGTCTGGAGAAATGTTTGGTTTCGGCACTAGTGGGAAGGTCATGTGCTGTTCCTGAACCTTACCACGCATGCGTGTGGGCATGCACTCATGTATGCATTAACCTGAGACGAAATTGCAGAAATATGGAAGATACACAGACGAAATAAAGATTAGCTCGGCAGCCACAACACGTTGTTTCACGTTGTACACACGTTGTATAAAATTATTCATTGTTGCTTACGTTTCTTCTGATTCACCACACAATAATTTACCCTTTTATGGATATAGAATTGTTTGGAAACGTAAATCGAAAATCATTATGAGAAGTTATTCACTCGGTATAGAATGCAAATCTAGTTTTCTATTAGTATTATCGCAAACAGTCAATAATGATAAAATGGCGACTGAATATCGGGAACAGCTGTAGAGAAATTTATCAACCGTAACGAGATCTCAAATAATTAAGATCCCGAATTTATTTTCCCGATCGATTTTTAGTCGCTACGCTTAACCGCCGTACGTGGACATAATTCAGCAAGGTCTCTCTCCTGACAAACCCGTTACCAGATTATCTCACGTCATTACTCTAGCCTTACGACAATGAGCCGCCTTCTAGTACATATATATATATATACCGCGATTTCATCCCGCTTGAAAAGCGAAAGCGGGACGCACCGACAATTTCATGACCGGTTCACCAGCGAAGCGATAAATGCCAAGGTCGCAAGCATCTAGCGACCTATGGAAATATGGGATGCTGCGTGTCCGCAGGGCATCTTCGCGGTAGAGAGATACACACCCACGGTTATGCGGCCACTTTCATGGTGGATATCTAGTCATGCACCGGTGGCTTCGACACGCGAGAAGAATGGCCAGATATCAGCTGCGCTACTAGGACTAATAAAGCTTGCGTGTGGGCAGCACGGTCCACTGCCATGCGACCATGAGACTGATTGTGTGTGTGTGTGTGTGTGTGTGTGTGTGTGTGTGTGTGTGTGTGTGTGTGTCTGTACGTATGCTCGAGGGTATGAATACAAATGCTAGGCCCGCATATAATTTGGAATTACAGCGCATGTCTTAACTTAGTATGTACGTAGAAGACCAGGGCATCTATTCAAGCTCTGCTAGTTAAATAACATTTTATGTATACAACATATATGTAATACAACATATATATAACATATTATGCATAGTTATGTTTATATGCCTGTGCCCTCTAGGTTAAGTAAAAAAAGCTCGACTCGTTATTACTTGAATCGTTTTATTTATTTCATCGCCTGTTTGTTCTTACCGTTTAGTTTTATCGTTTATTTACTCATTGGCTTTACTACTGGCGGAGCCATCACGGCCATGTTCTACCATGTCCCGGAAATAATGCCATCACATGAGAGGGGAAAAACACGACGCAGTCATTTACGAGCATGCCAAACCTTCGCATTACCTAGCGTCTAAGAAATTACGTAGAACGCAGTAGTACTAAAATGCGCTGCTGCTCTGACACAGGTCCAACAGACACTCCCTCCCTGGTCGCGATTGTCACACTCCTTCTACGTTTGCCACCAGTAATGATAAAATTGATAAGTATGCCACCAGTAAGCCTAAGTATAGATACTATCCGTCTATATTCACTTAATCATATTCATTATCATAGAATATCACCGTAAAACAGTTAAAGACATGCATAAATCAGGAGCAGATGTTAAATATATTATCCGTCTATAATCGCTTAATCGTATTCATTATCTTACCAACAGATCATGTAATTTACTATAAGCACCTTTTCAACATAACACAATTTCATCTTTGAGATTATAGTGCGCTTCATAAATAGAGGAAATTGCGCAAGGCCAATATGATTACGATGGAATGTTTCCGACGAATACGATAGAGTAGCCTATATGTTTTGCCCAAACTCTACTGCTCTGACTGTACATGGAAGGCCAGGGCACCCAATAACTATTTATTATAGATTTGCTGGTTGAATATTTTTATGTTTGCGTGTGTGTCTACGGGTCTGAATGCAAAATCTCCACCCGCATTTAATTCAGATGATTTAGATAATTTTATAATAATAATAATAACAGCAGCAGTAGCAGCAACGACAACAAGAGGAAGAAGGTGATTATTTTAATCGACCTCTCGGCCATTGATCGTATAAACAAGATAATGCACGTCCCCTCGTGATGTATGTAGTAATAGCTAGGCCTATAGTGAGCAAAGCTAAGCTTTACCGCGCGCAACCCCTTAAAACTGCGAACGAACACAGATTCTCCTGGTAACATCAGTTCCGCCAGCCTGTGTACATACAGGTATACGCGTACGTATTTTTCGTACTCAGAATTGGCAACGGTACCTATGCGTGAGCGCATTTTTTTACAAGGTCGCGCGCTTTGTCATCGTAAGTAAGACTGCCTACGTACACATATATGGCAGTTATGAATACACGCGTTAGTTTACATTCATGCTTTCATACATTCATGTTAGTAGAATGGAATTGTTTTCACTGCCTCGCGCCTCCGCGTTGTATTTACACATGGGCTCTAGTTTCAGTCCACTCGCCCATTGTAGTCCTACTTAGGAACACTGTGACCATGGCGGCTAGAGCGAGTCTACCTCTCACCTCGCTGTGCTTCATATGCGAGTCATTGAAGGGCATTTATTCACCCGGGTTTATGTAAAATCAAGAGTACATAATATATATATATATATATATATATATAGATATATAGTAGACATATAGGAGAGATTGAGAATTGTTGATCATTGAGTTAGTCATTATTCAATCAGCACAAATCGACCAGAATGCGTAGCACAGATGCGTAAGCTACGCCTTAAGGAACACTATATAATTGGAATATTTCTATATTGCTGTGGCTTGCTGGTATGCTCTCATATGGTGCGCAAGCTTTATATAATATTTAGGCAGGTAGTTAGTCTAGATTGATGTAGACAATTTGGATGCAACGATCGCAAGACGTTGACAATGATGCTTATGTAACATCATTATCATATGTATATCGTCTCTGTCAGAGTCGTGGCGGGTTTATTTTGAAGGTATCCCATATCTGTTGGTGCACTGTTATCCATTATTTTTAATATCATAATTTATAGCAGGTTATAATTTATGTATAACTTATATAGTTCATGTGCACGGTCATCCGCCTACAGTAAGGCGATTCTTGACTAGGACCATATATCCTGGCTTCGTGTATGCTGGTAAATATGCGAGATGAATACAGACATCCACTTAAGCCAATTACACTCAGACCTTGGATTTGTCATCTACACCACACTGGCACGGTGCCCTGGAGTAAGATGAAAGCTGTGCTCCAATGTTATGTTAGTCCGTCATGCCGTACGATTGGCGTTCAGGTAGGACATACTTCGACTACTGAACTACAATCAGTTAGTTTGCTTATTAAAAATCTCTACTGCTTCACATGCTTTTCATATTAATTTCCCATTGCGTACATCGTGCATCGTGCGCAGATTCAGTAATATGATGACAGTTCGAAGTTAATCTCACGTGTACAAGAATACCGGATGGAATCGGTGTCCCATGCATCATGTGATCAGATCACTTTGTTATCTATAAGCCTATACGCCTACGTAAAATTGACGTCTCGTTATTTAACGCATACGTAAAATTGCAGTTCTCTTACTACATATCTTATCTTTAGGACTTGCGTAGTAGTGTGCAAAGTTTCATAATTTCTACTCAGAAGAGTAGCAATTGATGTGCGTTATTCGCCTTACTAACTCACACTGTACTGCTTTGTGATTCTGTGCAATTTCAGTGTTGCAATATGAATTCGTCGCCTGCTTCTGACACTGTGCTCGGCTATGTCGGCCTCATACGCGCTCAGGGAGGGATGACAGGTGCGTATGCAACGTCCATCATATTTACTTGTCGAAATAAATTACCGGTTTCTGAATAAGTAGTTTTTTTTAAAGTCGACACACTTGTTTTACAAGTATATTCGTGCTAGTTTGGGCTGTTGCGACGTGCGTGCAACGATGATAATAGCAGAATCAACATGGGCATATTTTACGCGTGACAGTACTAATAGGCCTACCTTGGTTGAGCAGTCCTCATTGACTTTGACCTAGTTAGAGCGAGCATGCCCGATAATCGCGTAGCAGTGTGTTCCACATAGTCATAGAATTGCCGGCTCGTGCCAAATCATCAGAGGCATTGTTTATCGCTATTAGCAACACCTATAGCCGCCCGTTGTGTTGTCTGTTTATTCGTTCTTTTGTTCGATTCCACCGCTATGACGACTGCCCTATAAGTATAAGTGATTGTTGATTGCACCAACCCTGTAAGAGGCAGCAGCCAACAGAGGAACATTCGTAGTCTGTCTAACGCTACATCAGTGGCGGAACCAGAGCTATGACGAGTGCTTTACTTTCAGGCTATGGTCCGCAGGTTATCCAGGGTTACGCTCGTCGCGTTGCTCCATTGCTAAACGGCAGGGCTTTACATCCGGCGTTCAAAAATGACGGCTTTACATCCGGCGTTCAAAATGGCGGCTTCGCTTCCGGCGTTCAAATAATGTGCGGCTTCGCTTCCGGCTTCAAAATGGCGTTCGCTTCCGGCCTTCACAATGGCGCTTCGCTTCGCCTTCAAAATGGCGGCTTCGCATTCCTCGCTCTCAAACGTCGGCTTCGCCGCTTCCTCGCCCTGCGCGGCTCTGCGATCGACATCAACAACTTCGCCAACATCGACGCGTCTGCGTTCGGCTTCCGTAACTTTGCGCCGGAGTACGTCTCAATCGCCGACTTCGACTACGGTGCCGCCGCCAGGCGGCAGCCGCTTCGCACACCCGAAGAAGCGATCAATGCTGCTAGCCAGGAGGGCAAGTCGTCATCGGGAGGCGGTTCGGCAGTGGGCTCGGCACGGCAGACGGAGACGAGCAGCGCGTCGCGGGAGGGCAGCGGCAGCGGAGAGGCGGGAATCGAGCTGTCGGCGGAGCGCACCGCTCACAGACGCGACGCAGCAGTTCAGTCAGACGGCGAGCGTGACGGTAGTACGAAGGCAGGGCGCGGCTACGCGTTCGAGCGCGCAACAGCACGCAGCGTGCGCTCCAACCGTGGCGACTCGATTCTCTTCCCGTGCACTCCGGACCTTCGCAGCCAGCTGCCTGATCGCTGCGAGAACCGGCGGCGTCTGAAATCCGCTCGCGTGCTCTGGGAGCGCGTGGCTTCGTCAGAAGACGAACAGGAGCGCGCCACGACCGCTTAAAGAAGCACGTCCACAGAATCGCCGTACAACCACGCATGGCGCGCCGAGAGAGAAAGAGCGATTAGAGAGAAGGAAGAATAGAG